GACAGATACATAAATAAATAAATAAATAAATAAATAAATAAATAAATAAATAAATAAATAAATAAATTAATAAATAAATAAAAAAAATAATTAAATGTCTATAAATTTAGAATTAAATAATATTTGGAAAGATTTTTTATTTAGTTGGGAAAAGAGTAGTAGTGAAATGAATGGTGAAGTTTTTCCATCGGAAGTTTTTTTAAATATTTTTGGAAATCAAAAGAAAATAGAGCTTGCAAAACAACTGTTGCCTCCATATAACCTTACCACATTATATCACGGTGTACCAAATACATGTTCAGATTTGTCTTGTAATAGTTGTGGTGGCTGCAATATAATGAAAAATGGTTTCAATTTATCTTTGGAATCTAGTTCAAAGGAATCTTATTTAAGATTTCGTAAGGGTGTTTATTTAGCATCAAATTCATCAAAAGCAAATGACTACACTTCCCCAAATAAAGAAGGATATAGATGTATTTTTGTTTGTATTGTTAATTTGGGTTCTAAAAAACTAGAAAATACAAATGAATACTGTAATTCTGTTCATGTTGTGCCATCTCTTCAAAATGAATACAGTTTTAACCCCGACAATTCCACCGTACCTGAAATTGAGGAGTTTGAAAAGAGGAATTCAGTCTTTTATTCCGGTTTTGATGAATATGTTGTTTGTAATCCATCATTAATCGTCCCAATAATTGCAATTATCTACAAAACTGACCTTATAGAGAATTTAAATTTTAAGAAATACAATATAGTTTTTATGGGTCCATCTCAAACATTTGAATATAGTGATAAGAAAACAAACTATCATTTTAAACTATTATAATAAACAATATTAAAAACAAAACCAATTATTTAATAATTTGTCTTTTTTTTTTTTTAATTTGGGTGTTTGGGGGTGAGTGGTTAAAAAAATATTTTAAAAATAGCAATTTTTTTTTTTTTTTTTATAAACTGATTGCCTTTTTAAATTTTTATATTATATATTTTTTTTGAAACTGTTTAATCAAAAAAAATTAATATAAAATAAAATATTTTTCTATACACCAAATTTATATAATTTAATAATTTTAAATTTTATCATTTTAAAAAAAAAATAAAAAAAAAATACAAATTAAAAATTTACCCCTTCAATTTCTATTTATTTTTTTTTATTTTTTATATTTTTTCATTTTATTAAAATACATATAAAATTTTAAATCTTTGCATAATAGTAATAATACACAATAAAAAAATAATAATGGACAATAATTCTAATAGTAATAAAATATTAGATTCTAATAATATAAATTATATATTATATAAAAAAATATTTAATAATAATTATTTAAAAAATTATATTTACAGTTTTATAAAATTAATAAATATAGAATATATTAGAAAATTAAATCAATATGTAAATAAGGATCCAAGAAGAAGTTATTATGAAATTTCATTTCATTGGATTATAAAATGTAAACATTATAATGTTTTATTTGATATGTTAAAAAGAGGCTATAAAACAAGTTTAAATATGAAATCAGAATTATTGTTTTCATTTGACATGGAGCAGTTTTTAACCCACTTACATATATCAAATGGATTTTCCAAAAAAGTTATCAAAGAGAACTTAAAAATATTTTATAAATTATACAAATATCAGTTGTATGAAGTTCAATCTCTAGATTTATTTGAATTATCAATTAAAACCAATAATTTAACATTTTTAAAAATAATTTATAAAGACTGTGTCAACTCAAATTGCAATGGAGCCAATAATAATAGATATGATGATTATTTCAAACATAGAGGGGATTTAATCGATATTGGTCTAACTTATGGAGAAATGGATATACTGGAATACCTCCACGAGAAAATGTCAATAAAAAGATTCAATACAATAAATGCTATCGAAAATTGCTGCCATTCAAAAAATAAAAGTATAGCTTTTAAATTCCTCATAAACAACCTCAAATATGAAATCAGTAATCAAGATTTTAAAGAAATAACACAAATTATAAACCCATTCACTTTAGATAGAGACATCTTATTACAAATAACATCCAAGGCTGACTTAAATATAGAAAATATAATTAAAATTATATCAATTTATTTAGAAGATAGTTTTATTTTAAACTCTGACGTATCCATAAAAACAATCTTTAATATATTTTACATTATCAAAAATAATATAAATCCAATTCCATGCAATAATCTTCATCACTTAATAAACAAAATAGTTTCAAAACCTACCAATGGAATAGAGTGGGGTGAAATTGACTCACATCAAGAAAAAGAAATCATAAAGTTTTTTATTTTTGAATTTTTAATGGATAAGGAAATAAAACCATATTGTAAAGAAAAGGATTTATTAAAGATAGGGTTGCAGTATATAATTCACTTTAAAGAGTACGAGCTAATAAAATTATTTATTGTCCATAAAAAAATACCTACCTCAACATTAAATGTATCAGATAATTTCAACCATCAAGAAATTGATACAAACAGCTTTTGCTACAAGTACGGTGTTAGATTTGCAAATTTTCACCTTTTTCAATATATATACTTCAACTTTAGAGAGTGTTTTAATTGGAATGATAGATTAGCCGGAGGATTTATAGCAAGTAAAGGAGATGTTGAACTTATGAAATTTATTCATGATAACAATTTAAATGATTTAATAGATCCTCATTTTATTATAGAGCACGGAGCTTCATCAAATATAGAAATGGTCCATTATTTAAATGAAAAAGGATATACAGTGTCATCTCTCAGCTATTCTGAATCATTAAAGCATGGAAAAGATGAAATATTCCTATACCTCTTGGAAAATACAGACAAACCAATAGATTTAAATATTCAATCAATATCTCACAACTTAAATATGCCAAAACTATTAAATACAGATTAAAATCAGCTTTAGATCCTCCAACTCGTTACAAAACCAAAGGAATACCCAACAAAAACTCATTAGATATAATATCACAACTAAATATAATCTTAAAAGATCCTCCATTTTTAGTAAATAAAATGAAATAAAATAAATATAAAATAAATATAAAATTAAAACAAAGTTTTTTTTTTTTTATAAAACTATATATATACTATAAATACTATTATATAGATATTGTATATAAACATTAATAGTTAATGTTTTTCTTTTGGATAGATATCCCAATTTATTAAAATTAATTTTTTTTTTTTTTTTCTTTTTAAAAATATATATGATTAATTATTAGTTAAAATTGACATTCTGACGGCTACTAGTATTACACGATAAATTTACATTTTTTTCTGGATAAATATTTATTGTTCAATTAAAGAAATTATAATTATCGGTCTTTCTTGAACATTGTTATAGTTGTAATACCCAGTTACAGATTTATTTTGAGTTTGAGTTTGATTATTGAATGTTGGTTGTTGAGTTGGTTTATTATCATTTAAATGGAGATTATTGAAAGAGTCTAAAAATAAATAAAAAAAAAAAAAAAGATATTTTGTTAATAAAAATAAACTTTTAAAAAAAAAACATTATAAAAAATAAAACATACCGATGATATTCATTTTAGAATTAAGTTTTAATTATATTTAATAATCGAATAATTAAAAATAAGAAATTTAAAACAAAAATTTTATAGTTTTTTTTTAATGTTGAATTTTAAAATAAATTATTATTATCACCACCAAATTAATATATGAATATATGGTTTATAAAATATATATTTATTGTTGTTGTAGTTATTGTAGTTGTTGATTTTGTATTTGCTTAAATCCTTATTGTTTTGTTTTTTTTTAATTTTAAAATATTTATATTTAAAATTATTTTATTTTATTTTTTATTTATATATTTTTAATTATTTTTGTGTGGTACTATTATAATACTATAACACAAAATAGTGTGTAAAAAATGAAATATTTTAACATATAAATAAACAAAATGTTTATGTGTTTGATATGTAGCGAGTTAATAAGTGTGTGTGTGTGTTTTTTTTTTTATGCTAGATAATTTATAAAACACTCTCACTATTTGACTCTATAACAACAATAATAATGATATCCCTATAATAATTTAATATAAAGAATTATTTTTTGCGGTGCTGCATTTTTTAATATGTTTTTTTTTGTGTGTTTTGTTGTCAAGTGTGTTTTTGTGTGTATGTGTGTGAAAAAATGTGAGTGTGTCCGCTCTTTAAAAAATGCTATATTTATGCATTTTTTTTATTAATTTTTTTTTTTTCTTTTCACAAAAAAATTCATCTTTGAATTTTTATTTTTTTTTTATTTTTTTTTTTATTTTTTTTTATTTTTTTTTATATTTAGAATTTTATTTTTAGAATTCAATTATCATAATTAAAGAGATTAATTGAATAGCAGCGTGAAAAAGTTACCGCTCACTCACCATTTAGAAAGTACATATTTGTGTATTGTGTGAATTATAATGTGTTTGTTTAATTTTTTCGATTTTCAAAATATTTTTTTTTTTTTTTAATTTTTATTTATTCGTATAGAGAGAAAAAAAAAAAAAAAAGTATCATCGTTTAACTAAAATAATTAATTTATATTAGATTCAATTAAAAATTACTTTCAATTATTAAAATTCATTTTTGAATCTTAACCATTTTTGAATCTTAACCATTTTTGATTTTAAAACTATTTAAAATTATAAAATACTACCCCTCAAATACCCACATTAATTGTTTTTTTTTAAATAAAAATATAAACACTAAAATTTTTTAATAATTTGAGATATAAAGAAAGAAAGTACAAAGTGCAAACAATTAATTATTATAATTACCTCCCCATAAATATTGATATTATTATCTAGATTTACTTTTTTTTTTTATATTCTGAAACTCATTGATTTTAAAGAAAAAAAATAAAAAAAGTAACTATATATAGGAAATATAAAACCACGATTAAATCAAAGATTAAATCAAAGATTATATGTTAATTTTTATATGCAGAAAAATTGAAGAATAGATTAATGTTAAAAACCTCAATACTATCTAAAACGCCATGTTTGTGTCATCATTGTCCAATTATGTGTTTTATCAATGAAATATCGATCAATAATGCATCATTCCTCCTATATAAATATAGATAATAATTAAATATATAAAATAAATATAAAAAAATATAAAAAATATCAACATAAATATCACTTTTTTAAAAAACTATAAATCATAATAACATATGCTACATTTCCCAAATAAAGTGAATTTTTGATTTGTGCTTTGAAAATTCAAAAGATTGTTTGAAATTATAATAATTTAAATAAAATAACAATTTTTTAATAACTTTTCTATTTTTTTTAAAACATTATATATTAAAAAACTCAAAAAAAATATTATATGGAATATATTAAAAAAAATGGTTTTTATAAAATTTAATAATATTATATTTTATTGTACATTTTTTTTTTTAAAAAAATAAATAAATAATTTTGTTTTATGTTCGTTTAATAAATAAAAAGATTAAAAATGTTTAGCCTTATACAAATTGATAGTCAGGACGTCCAAATAATTTAATAACCAAGTCAGAACTTTGGTTTGATGTAAATATACCTTCATTATTAATATTTGCAGTATAATTGTTTGTTTTGATTGTTTTGTTTTTATTTAAATTGTTTAAACTTCTTAAATTATCTATTTTTTTAAAATAAAATTTTATTTAAATTAGTAACAGTAAAAAAAATAATTAAAAAAAAATAAATAAAAAATAATAAATAAAACTTACTAAAAATCATTTTTTTTTATTATATGTTTTATTTTATATTTGTTTGTTAAATTAAATATATATCTATATTTCTTTGTTTTAGTTTTATTTATTGCAATAAATATTTTTATAAATATATAAATTAAAAAAAAAACTTAAATATTTTTTTTTTTTTGATTTTTTTTTTTATTTAATTATTATTATAAATGATTGTTAATATTTTTTCTTATTATTATATATTATAATTAAAAGAATAGGTGTATGTATCATTTATAGTTTTATCTCACCATATTTTGTTTTTATAAAAAAAAAAAGAAAATCAAACCAAAAAAATTTTAATAAAATCCCATGGAAAATTCCCAAAAAGGATGATATTTTTTAAATCAAGAATAGTGATTGTTGATGTTATATAGGGGATTTGAATCAATTTATTGTAATAGAATGATTCTATTATATTTTTAAATAATTTTCACTTCTATAGTGACAATATATACCGATTTAAAATCTAATTTAATTTTAATAATAAAAAAACGAATAAACAATAACAATAAAAACACAGAATTAATCAAATATTTTAAACAATATTATTTTTTGATACATACTACACAAATAATTTAAAAGAACAGCTTTATTTCGAACCAAAATTAATAAACAAAAAATAACCCACACTAATTGTTAAACCATCCCATCATTTTTTTACAATTTTAAAGAAGTAAAAATTTTTACTTTTATCACCCTCTTTTTTAATCCACCTAACAATTATCAACATTAGCAAAATAATTAATATAGAGGTTTCAAATCTTTTAAATCAATAAAAGTACTAAATTTTATATACGTATAAAAAAGTACACATACATTTAACCAGAAATAACATACAAGTAAATATATAAACTAACAAAATATTATAAAACCCACACATACAACCACAATTTTACATCTTTTACTTTATATATTCAAAATTTTATTTATTTATTATTTTTTTAGCATATTAAATATCATTTTAAAATTAACAAAAAAACAATTTTTATGAGCAAAAAATAAATTAATAAAAAAAATAAAACTTA